CACTGGAATTTTAAACTTGGTTGAGTTCCAAAATATCACATTCCTTTTTATTTGTTCCACATTTAATTTCATATAAATATAAATATAAAGTGTGAGGCACACATTTGTTATATTTATTGTACTGAGGATTGAAGCAAGGCCTACCTCTTGGTAGGAAATTCCTGTAATACTAAGGTTTACCTCCAGCTCTATGAGAATTCTTAATTCTTATTTATGGGATAGTATTTATGGGAGTGTTTTTACTATATTTAGTTTGATTAGATTTAGAATTCACTGAGTAATGGGCATCAAATACACCAAAAATTTTAGGTGGACACAAATATCTGCATTAAACATAAACTGGGTAGTACACTGATACTGACTTCTCTATTGTGTGTATGACATTTTTTCATTCATCAAATTCAAATATGTCAAAGCTTGGCTGCTGTTCTAATTGAGTTGCTGCCTCCTGTGTTGCTTGGTTTGCTGCAAAAATCTTTAAAATCTTAGCAGGGACTCAAACATGTATATGTTCACCATATTCTTAATATCATTGTTCACAAGAGTCAATGTACAGAAACAACTCAAATGTGCATTGAAAGATCAGTTAACAAAATGTATTATAAACCTATAATGAGTCATTATTTAACCCTAAGAAAAACTAAAAATTTCACACATGCTACTATATAGATGAGTCTTGAAGAACTATGCTAACTAAAATAAGCCAAACACAAAAAAGACAAATATTACATGATTCCATCTATTTTGAGATAACTAGAACAGTCAAATCCATGGAGACAGGAAGTATACTAGTGATTTCCTGTGACTGGGTGGGAGGAAGGGCAAAAATCTTTATCATCTTTAGTTTGGGAATATGAAAAAGTTCTAGAGGTGGATGTGATGATTGCTGCACAGCAGTGAAAATGTACTCCATGCCACTGAGTGATTAAAATAGTAAATTTCATGTTGTGTATACTTTTCTCCAATAGGGAAATGAAACCACACTTCTAATATCTTAACTCAGACCATTTTTTAACCTATACATATATATA